GAGGTGTGAGAGTAACGGGGGATGGAGGGGGTTAGTAAACGGGGGCAGTGGAGGGGTATAAAGGGGCAGGGGGGTTGAGTAAACGGGGAGTGGGGGTGTAGTAAAAGGGCATGGAGGTGTGAGTAAAGGGGCATGGAGGTGTGAGTAAGGGCAGTGGAGTTAGAGTAAACGGGCAGTGGATGTGAGTAAACGGGGGGTGGAGGTGTGGAAAGGGGGCATGGAGGGGGTGAGTAAAGGGAGGGAGGTGTAGTAAACGGGGGTGGGGGGGAGTAAAGGGCATGGAGGGGGAGTAAAGGGGGTCATGGAGGTGTGAATAAAGGGCATGGAGGTGTGATAAAGGGGGAGGGAGGGTGAAAAGGGGGATGGAGGGGTGAGAAAGGGCGTGGAGTGTGGTAAACGGGCAGTGGAGGTGAGTAAACGGGCAGGGGGGGTGAGAGTAAACGGGCAGTGGAGGTGTGAGTAAAGGGGCAGTGGAGTGTGAGTAAAGGGGCAGTGGAGGGGAGTAAAGGGGGCTGGGGGTGTGGGGTAAAGGGGGAGTGGAGTGTGAGTAAAGGGGGAGGGAGGGGATTAAAAGGGGGGAGGGAGGTGTGGGAAAAAACGGCAGGGAGGGTTTAGAAAGGGCAGTGGGGTGTGAGTAAAGGCATGGGGGTGGAAAAGGGCAGTGGGGTGTGAGAAAGGGGGGAGTGGGGGTGGAGAAAGGGGGGAGTGGGGGTGTGGGTAAAGGGGCAGTGGGTTTGAGGAACGGGAAATGGGGGGGTGAGTAAAGGGGCATGGAGGGGTGAGTAAAGGGGGAGTGGGGGTTTAGGGGAAAGGGCGTGGAGGTTGAGGAAGGCAGTGGGGGTGTGGGAAACGGACAGTGGAGGGGGTGAGTAAAGGGGGAGTGGGGGTGTGGGAAAAGGAAGGGGAGGGGAGTAAAGGGAGGGAGGTGGGAGAAAGGGGGGGGGGTGGGGAAACGGACAGTGGAGGTGAGGAAAGGGGCAGTGGAGGTGTGAGTAAACGGACAGTGGAGGTGTGAGTAAAGGGGCAGTGGAGGTGTGAGTAAAGGGGCAGTGGAGGTGTGAGTAAAAAACGGGCATGGAGGTTTGGTAAAGGGGGAGTGGAGGTGGGGAGGAAACGGCAGTGGAGGGGTGGGGTAAAAGGGGCATGGGGGTGTGATTAAAAGGGGGAGTGGAGTGTGAGGTAAAAAGGGGGTGGAGTGTGAGTAAGGGGGATTTTGGGGGTTAGGAAACGGACAGTGGAGGTGTGATAAAGGGGGGATGGGGGGGTGATAAGGGCGTGGGGGTTAGAAAGGCGGGGGGGGGGAGTAAGGGGGGCGGGGGGAGGGTGATTTTAAAGGGGGAGGGAGGTGTGAGTAAACGGCAGTGGGGGTGTGAGTAAAGGGGGGAGGGAGGTGTGGAAAGGGGATGGAGGTGTGAGGGGAAAGGGGCAGTGGGGGGTGAGTAAAGGGGGAGTGGAGGTGTGAGAAAAGGCAGTGGGGGTGAGAAAGGGCATGGAGGTGTGAGGCGGCGGGGGTTGGTAAAAGGGAGGGAGTGTGAGTCGGGAAAAAGGTTGGATAAAAAGGGGCATTGGGTGTGGAAAAGGGGGAAAAGGGTTAAAAAAACAGGGGGGTTGAAAAACAGTTAGGTGTAGACGTGGGTGCGGGGCGTCTCGTTTTGTGTACGGGAAGGGCAGGTGTCGACTGTTGCAGGTGATAATTATAGGTAATTGGGATCATGCGGTACACTCCTGCCTGTCATGCAACCTAGAGGGCATCACAGCTTCACACACACACACACACACACACAATCTTATACACAGAGCTCTCTCGACACACTCACACAAGTATCAGAAATCTCTCTCACACACACACACACACACACTACACAGACGGCAGTGATTCAACTGACTCTCCAGCTAATAGATTGACAAGTCAATATCAGCCTTGACTTCTGCTGCAGACATGGTTCACAAAGATGGCTGCCACTTACTTACCTGTTCCTAGAAGTAACTCCTTACTGCTTATAGCTCACTGTGCCTTCAGAAAGTATTCACACCCCTTGACCTTTTCCACATTTCATTGTTACACATTTTGATTTATTTGTCCATTTTTTTTACGGTCTATACTCTAATGTCAAAGTGGAAGAAAAATTATATAATTTTTTAAAGATTAATGAAAAATAAACACTATCTTGATTAGATAAGTATTCAACCCCCTGAGTCAATACATGTTAGAATCAGCTTTGGCAGCGTTTACAGCTGTGAGTCTTTCTGGGTAAGTCTCTAAGAGCTTTGCACAAATTGTACAATATTTGCCCATTATTCTTTTTTAAACTCTTCAAGCTCTGTCAAGTTGGTTGTTGATCATTGCTAGACAGCCATTTTCAAGTCTTGCCATAGATTTTCAAGCTGATTTAAGTCAAAACTGTAACTAGGCCACTCAGGAACATTCAATGTCATCATGGTAAGCAACTCCAGTGTATATTTGGCCTTGTGTTTTAGATTATTGTCCTGCTGAAAGTAGAATTTGTTTCCCAGTGTCTGTCGGAAAGCAGACTGAACCAGGTTTTCCTCTAAGATTTTGCCTGTGCTTAGCTCTATTCCGAAGCATTGGAAAACCTCCCTGGTCTTTGTGGTTGAATCTGTGCTTGAAATTCACTACTCGACTGAGGGACCTTACAGATAATTGTATGTGTGGGGTATGGAGATGGGGTAATCATTCAAAAGTCACGTTAAACACTATTATTGCACACAGAGTGAGTCCATGCAACTCATTAGGAGTAGCACATTTCTACTCCTGAACGTATTATTTAGGCTTGTCATAACGAAGGGGTTGAATACTTATTGACTCAAGACATTTCAGCTTTTCAAAAAACAGAATTTCACTTTGACATTATGGGGTATTGTGTGTAGATCAGTGGCACTCAATTTCATCCATTTTAAATTCAGGCTGTAACACAACAAAATGTGGAATAGGTCAAGGGGTATGAATACTTTCTGAATCCACTGTAGCTAAGGAACTCCTTGATATTCATAGTGCTTACCTGGGTGCTATGCAGCAAGGACAATTAACCTACAGCCAAAATATGTTTAAAATACATATTTTTGTTTAAAAATACTTTGAAAATACGTATTTTAAACGTCTTGTGCTCGCTACTTAAATCTTAAAAGATTAGGTTTAGAGCAGTGGTCACCAACCGGTCGATATTCAAGACATTGCTGTAGAAAAGCCAGCGATAAAGGCTTGCGCTCCTTTTTGTGTGTGTGTTGCGCTGTTGGCAGTAGGTGCAGGTGATTCAGAAGCCCTGCGCACCGGTCAGGCAAAGTGTTCCCATTTTGAACCATTTCATTTGTCTGAAAAGACTAACTTCACCTACCTGGCGGACTGGGAGATCTGTGGCTAAATCAGTACGCCTATTGCGCTGGCCAATCGGATAGCTCAAATCACTGTGCCTACAGCTTCCAAGACCCCGGCCACAGCAAGGTTTGATAAGCTACTAGCCTACATGAGATTTCACAACTTTTAAAACCTTGACCAGTGAGAGACTGTCAGAATACAGCAAAGAGCTGCTGTTTTTCTGAGTGAGTTCATGTCTAAGTTTTTATTCAGTACTGTCAACACTGTTTTAATTCAACACTATTATTAAACATAAAATGCGCTTCTTCCACTGGTGTTGCAATGAATGAGTAGCCAAGTGTATCGATAGCCCTGCGTTTTTATTATTATTAGCAGCTCGTTGTGTCTATTTTAATATAGAGGAATATTTAACTGTCTCTGGTCATAGGAACAACATGAATTTGTGCATGAGGCAGATGCGGTGCGACTCGCGTTTCGCCATCAGGTGGAAGACGGTGTCCCCTCTCTCTGGTCAGTCTCACCTGAGGAAAGGAAGGAGAGAGCAGGGACCGTGAGAGACGGACCCTCTGCTGCTCTCTCCCTCCCTCCGCTGAGACTAATGCTGCGTTCAAAACAACTGGGAACTCAGAACTGGGAACTTGCAAATCTCAGACTTCAGTACGTTCAAGACAATTGGGAACTAGGAAAAAAATGATATCCGACTGGGAAAATTTGTTTTGAACTGTCATCCAACTCGGAATTCCTAGTCGGAAACTCGGGCATCTTTCTAGAGCTCTGACTTTCCGACCTGAAGATCACTGACATCATGAGTTGACCTCGTTTTTTTCCTAGTTCCCGGTTGTCTTGAAAGCACCATGAACACCAGATGCAGGTACCATCAGTCCAGTAAAATAAAAAATGTTTTGGAAAGAAAGTGTGTACTGTAGCATGTCCAAGTAGTGTCCCTTTCCTTCTCCCTCACCCATCTCTCCCTCACCCTCACCCATCTCTCCCTCACCCTCACCCATCTCTCCCTTACCCTCACCCATCTCTCCCTCTCCCTCACCCATCTCACCCCAACCCACGCTCCGCTACCCTCACCCATCTCACCCTAACCCATCTCTCCCTCACCTCACCCATCCTCCCTCACCCGCACACCATCTCTCCCTCACCCTCACCCATCTCTCCCTCACCCTCACCCACTGCTCCCTACCCCAACCCATCCGCCCTCACCTAACCCATGCTCTCCCTCACCCTAACCCATCTCTCCCTCACCCTAACCCATCTCTCCCTCACCCTCACCCATCTCTCCCTCACCCTCACCCATCTCTCCCTCACCCTCACCCATCCCTCCCTCACCCTCACCCATCTCTCCCTCACCCTAACCCATCTCGCCCCAACCCTCGCCCTCACCCACTGCCCCCTCACCCTAACCCATGCACCCGCACCATCCTCCTAACCGAAAACCAGCTTCCCGCACCCTCACCCATATCTCCTCACCGAACATCAATCTCTCCCTCACCCGAACCCAGCTGCTCCCGCACCCTAACCCATTCACCATCACCCTAACCCATCTCTCCCTCACCCTAACCCATCCCTCACCCTCACCCCCTCACCCTAACCCATCTCTCCCTCACCCTAACCCATCACTCCCTCATCCTAACCCATCTCTCTTCCCTCTTCAGGTGCTCTGTCAGGGGGTCAGCTGGGTCCGGGAGAGCTGTTGCAGCAGAGATTACGCTGTGGCCAGGTGGACCAGGCTCTAGGAATTCTGGGAGTCATGGAGTGGAGCACCATGGGAACTGAATGTTACCGGGCACTGACCTCTGTCACAGACTACCTGCTGAGGCTAGAGCTGAACCAGACCAGAGAGGGTTAGACCGGGGCAATTCATTAATCAATCTGTCACTTAGGCAACATTTATACAGTCAGCTCAATTCTGGTCGTCTGCGTAATTATTGGCAAAAGAGATGATCTAATTGGTCAAAAGACTAATTAGTGAACAATTATCAGAATTGGGCTGCCTGTGTAAATGTAGCCTTAGTCAATCAAGTAATTAGTCCAGCAAACTGTAAATCAATTAATCAATCAATAAATCAGTTGACTAATGAATCAGTCAATCAACCAAGTATAGTTAACCATCAAATTATTAAATCAATGCATTAATCAGTATATTAATCAACCAACCAATCGGTCAGTCAATCAATCAATCAACCAATCAACCAATCAATCAGTAAACCAATCAGTTTAATGTTTATTTCCTGTCTGCAGCCCAGTTGGAGGCAGCTCTGGGTGTGTTCTACGCTCCGCCCCTCCCCCTCTCTGACTCGGTGGTTCTAGAATACAGAGGGCCAATCAGCAAATACGCCCGACGCTTCTTCCACCACCTACTCAGGTAACCCAGCCCACTATAACCCACCCACTCGGGTAACCACACCTCCTATACACTTAACCATACACACCAAGGTCTGCCAAACGGAAAAAAAACCTTCACCTTTCATTTAAATTCAATCATAATTTTCTGTCATCATCTTAGATAGACATTTTAGTCATTTAGCAGACGATCTTATCCAGAGTAACTTACAGTTAATTGGGTTTAAGATACTGTAGCTAGGTGAGACAACCACATATCACAGTCCATAGTACAGTGCATTTGGAAAGTATTCTGACCCCTTGACTTTTTCCACATTTTGTTATGTTACAGCCTTATTCTAAAATGGATTCAATTGGTAGTTTTTTCTCATCAATCTACACAACATACCCCATAATGACAAAGCAAAAACAGATTTTTTGAAATTTTAGCAAATGTATTAAAAATAACAAACTGAAATATCACATTTACGTAAGTATTCAGACCCTTTATTTTGTGTTGAAGCACCATTGGCAGCGATTACAGCCTCGAGTCTTCTTGGGTATGACGCTACAAGCTTGGCACACCTGTATTTGGAGAGTTTCTCCCATTCTTCTCTGCAGATCCTCTCAAGAGCTGTCAGGTTGGATAGGGAGCGTCGCTGCACAGCTATTTTCAGGTCTCTCCATAGATGTTCGATCGGGTTCAAGTCCGGGCTCTGGCTGGACCACTCAAAGACATTCAGAGACTTATCCCGAAGCCACTCTTTCGTTGTCTTGGCTGTGTGCTTAGGGTCGTTGTCCTGTTGGAAGGTGAACCTTCGTCCCAGTCTGAGGTCCTGAGCGCTCTGGAGCAGGTTTTCATCAAGAATCTCTCTGTACTTTGCTCCGTTCATCTTTCCCTCAATCCTGACTAGTCTCCCAGTCCCTGCCACTGAAAAACATCCCCACAGCATGATGCTGCCACCACCATGCTTCACCGTAGGGATGGTGCCAGGTTTCCTCCAGACGTGATGCTTGGCATTCAGGCCAAATCTTGGTTTCATCAGACCAGAGAATCTTGTTTTTCATGGTCTGAGAGTCTTTAGGTGCCTTTTGGCAAACTCCAAGCGGGCTGTCATGTGCCTTTTACTGAGGAGTGGCTTCCGTCTGGCCAATCTACCATAAAGGCCTGATTGGTGGAGTGCTGCAGAGATGGTTGTCTTTCTGGAAGGTTCTCCCATCTCCACAGAGGAACTCTGGAGCTCTGTCAGAGTGACCATCTGGATCTTGGTCACCTCCCTGACCAAGACCCTTCTCCCCCGATTGCTCAGTTTGACCGGGCGGCCAGCTCTAGGAAGAGTCTTGGTGGTTCCAAACTTCTTCCATTTAAGAATGATGAAGGCCACTGCGTTCTTGGGGACCTTCAATGCTGCAGAATTTTTTTTGGTATCCTTCCCCAGATCTGTGCCTCGACACAATCCTGTCTGGGAGCTCTACGGACAATTCCTTCGACCTCATGGCTTGGTTTTTGCTCTGACATGCACTGTCAACTGTGGGACCTTATATAGACAGGTGTGTGCCTTTCCAAATCATGTCCAATCAATTGAATTTACCACAGGTGGACTCCAATCAAGTTGTAGAAACATCTCAAGGATGATCAATGGAAACAGGATGCACCTGAGCTCAATTTCGAGTCTCATAGCAAAGGGTCTGAATACTTATGTAAATAAGGTATTTCTTTTTTTTTATATATATATATATACAGTGAGGGAAAAAAGTATTTGATCCCCTGCTGATTTTGTACGTTTGCCCACTGACAAAGAAATGATCAGTCTATAATTTTAATGGTAGGTTTGTTTGAACAGTGAGAGACAGAATAACAACAAAAAAATCCAGAAAAACGCATGTCAAAAATGTTATAAATTGATTTGCATTTTAATGAGGGAAATAAGTATTTGACCCCTCTGCAAAACATGACTTAGTACTTGGTGGCAAAACCCTTGTTGGCAATCACTGTGGGAACACTGTGGACCACTGTAGTGATGGCAGGTTTTACAGCAAGAACACTGTGGACCACTGTAGTGATGGCAGGTTTTACAGCAAGAACACTGTGGACCACTGTAGTGATGGCAGGTTTCACATCAAGAACACTGTGGACCACTGTAGTGATGGCAGGTTTCACATCAAGAACACTGTGGACCACTGTAGTGATGGCAGGTTTTACATCAAGAACACTGTGGACCACTGTAGTGATGGCAGGTTTTACATCAAGAACACTGTGGACCACTGTAGTGATGGCAGGTTTCACATCAAGAACACTGTGGACCACTGTAGTGATGGCAGGTTTTACATCAAGAACACTGTGGACCACTGTAGTGATGGCAGGTTTTACAGCAAGAACACTGTGAACCACTGTAGTGATGGCAGGTTTTACAGCAAGAACACTGTGGACCACTGTAGTGATGGCAGGTTTTACAGCAAGAACACTGTGGACCACTGTAGTGATGGCAGGTTTTACATATAGTAACTCATGTAATACCTCTATAACTGATCCGGTGTTGTTGGTGTATATATACTCATGTGTCTTCATAGTCTTTTTAACTGTCCGTACAGAAAATCTCTAACACTTAACTCAAAGCCTGCAGGTATAATGCTTTATAATGTGTTATGCGCTTGTATGAGCCTTTATAATGTTTTATAATACAGTTTATAATCATGTTATGTCTGTAGACACCAGCGCTTTGAGAAGGCTTTCCTGCTGGCGGTTGACATTGGAGCTAGAGACCTGTTTATGGTGAGGCATTCTACCTTTCCTCTCCTCTCCTCTCTTTCTCACTATTTTGTTCCTCTTCTTTTCTCTCTCCACTCCTCTCTTCTCCTTTCCTCTCCTCTCTCCTCTACTCCTCTCTCCTTTTGTCTTCTCTCCTCTTCTCTCACTCTCTCTCTCTTTCTTTCTCTCATGGTGAGTAGCAGGTGGAGGGCCCTCGTGTCCTGAACACAGCCTTTTCTTCCCTACCCTCTCCCCCTCTCACCTCTCTTCTTCTTGCTAGCTCGCTCTTTCTTTCTCTCTACGGTGAAACGGTCTTGTATGTCTGACCCCCTTCTTTTTGGGGGGCCCCTTTTGCTTCCCCCTCCAGGCTTCACCAACGCCCCCCTAGCCATTTCATGTTCACGCCTTGCACCTCCTTTCCCCCCTCTCACCTCCTCCTCCCCTCCCCCCTACTCCCTCAATCACACTGATAGCAATGGTTCCAATTCACTCCCCACTAAGTAGAGCCGTTGAGAAGCCGAATTGAAAAGGTGGAACCGAGGCCATGGACCTTGAAAGAACAGAGGGAGAGAGAGGAGGAGAGAGGAGGGGGAGAAGAAGAGAGCATGGGGAGGAAAGGGAGGAGGAGAGGATGGGAGAAGGAGAGGGGAGAAGGAGAGAATAGGGGGAGGAGGAGAGAGGAGGGGAGGAGGAGAGAATAGGGGGAGGAAAGGGAGGAGGAGAGAGGAGTTGGAGAAGGAGAGAGTAGGGGGGCGGAGGAGGAGGAGGGGGAGGAGGAGAGAGGAGGGGGAGGAGGAGAGAGGAGGAGGAGAAGGAGGGAGGAGGGGAGGAGGAGGGAATAGGGGGAGGAAAGGGAGGAGGAGAGAGGAGTGGGAGAAGGAGAGAGTAGGGGGAGGAGGAGAGAGGAGGGGGAGGAGGAGAGAGGGGGGAGGAGGAGAGAGTAGGGATGAGGAGAGAGGGGGGGAGGAGGAGAGAGTAGGGATGAGGAAAGAGGAGGGGTAGAAGGAGAGCGTGGGGAGGAGAGAGGAGAAGGAGAGAGGAGGGGGAGGAGGTAAAGGACTGCTCCATAAACAGAGAGGAACAGAAAGGAGGCCTCCTCTGTCACCTAGGAGACATGCCAGAGAAAGGAAATAACACAAAGAAAGAAAGTGACACATTTCTCCTTTTTTGGAACAACAAAGAGAGCAGGGAACGAGAGAGGTAGAGAGAGGTAGAGAGAGGTAGAGAGCAGGGAACGAGAGAGGTAGAGAGAGGCAGAGAGAGGTAGAGAGCAGGGAACGAGAGAGGTAGAGAGAGGGAGAGAGAGGCAGAGAGAGGCAGAGAGAGGTAGTGGAGATTGTAGAGAGAGGTAGAGAGAGGTAGTGGAGATTGTAGAGAGAGGTAGAGAGAGGTAGTGGAGATTGTAGAGAGAGGTAGAGAGAGGTAGTGGAGATTGTAGAGAGAGGTATAGAGAGGTAGTGGAGATTGTAGAGAGAGGTAGTGGAGATTGTAGAGAGAGGTAGAGAGAGGTAGTGGAGATTGTAGAGAGAGGTAGTGGAGATTGTAGAGAGAGGTAGTGGAGATTGTAGAGAGAGGTAGAGAGAGGTAGTGGAGATTGTAGAGAGAGGTAGAGAGAGGTAGTGGAGATTGTAGAGAGAGAAAGAGGGAGATGGGGAAAGAGAGGGAAGGCGGGAGAGTGGAGGGCAGTGGCGTTTAGCCCTGCTAGTCCTCTAATTAGGGCCTAAGTTAACCTGTCTAACTGGCTGATTGGGACAGGGAGGGGTGAAGGGTAGGGGTGAATCAGGGGCAGAAACCCATTGTGTCCCCATCTGATGTCTGATCTCAACCCCATCAATGTCGGGCGAACAAAACTAACGGAACCCCCGCTCTCACACACAAACTGACAGACACGCGCGCGCGCACACACACAAACATACAAATGCATGCTCATAGACACTCACACACACACACCCTGCAGAAATGCTCAGTGTGATTCCTCACCTCCTCTCACCTCTCTCTCTCTTTCTCTCCCCAGCTCCATTGTTTTTGAACTAACAATAGAAGTCCTCCAACCCTTTTGTAAAACAAAATACTTTGGTGTGGGGCTAAATTGGAGGGGGACTAGGGGGGGTGGAGGAGTAGGTTAAGGATGTGTGTGTGTGTGTGTGTGTGTGTGTGTGTGTTTGTGGGTGGGTGGGGGGGGGTGGGTGGGTGTGGGTGGGTGTGTGTGTGTGTGTGTGTGTGTGTGTGCGTGTGCGTGTGTGTGTGCGTGTAGAGCAGGGGGAAGGAGGGTTCTCATTCTCATTTGCAGGA